TTTGTCTCAGTAGCCAACCACGGTATTCTGGGCTTTTTTTCGATTAATTTGTTGGTTGACTCGGGTCCCACACCTGGTAATGATGGATGAGTCTCCCAACAAGAATTTTCTATATTCACAAAGACTCGAACTCGAGACTTTGCTTAAACAACATCAAGCTGCTTATCAATCCATAAGTCCATGCAAATCCCATCAAATTGTCACAGACAGTCAAAATAAAAACAAACCAATCCACAATTAAATCACGTGCAAATTCCATCAAATGTATGCAAATATCATGTGCAACACCCACAAATCTCACACAAATCTAGTGTAACATCCCAAGTGAAATGAAAGCAAATATGGAGATTGATGAATGTACAAAAGGCTGATCCTCTTACATGTTTTTCATCATTTCATGCATCCATAGATTCTGTCCGTGCGTCCTTAGATTCTGTTCATCGTCTATGGATGCTGTCCGCGAAAGACATCCGTTGATGATGTTGATGAATATGTTGATGGTGTCCAAACATCCGTTGATGTTGTTGATGCATCTGTTGACGTTCCCGACTCCTCTGACATTGTTCATTAAAAACCGCCGACTCTGTTCATACGCACGTCGTTCCGCTTGCTGCACAAGACCCACCGTTAATCGAGCATTCTTCTCAAACATCTCCCGCATCTTCTTAAGTTTCTGCTCCATCTGTGTATTTATCTATCTAATTAGTCTCTTGTTGTCTTTGTGTTTTTATGAAATCTAACATAGTAGGATTGTAAGAGCATGTTTGTATACAAGAATTCCCACAAAAAATTTCAATATTTTAACTCAACCATTTTTTATAACTCAAATTTAACTCAACCCCACTATCATCAATATAATCAATATAATAAAATAATATCATTCAATCATTTATGCACATCACATCAACCTTAATTCACTATTCATCCACTCACATTATTTTAACTAACAATCACATCAAATTTTAATTATTTTATTTTAAATATTATTTTAATATACCCACTAACAATTAACCATACTACATTTTTCAAAATTAACCAAACCAAACCAAAAATTCCAACAAAAACCAAAAATTTTCATATCCAAACATGGAGATGATTGGATATAAATTTTTTTTTGATTTTGTTTGGATTTTTTTGTTTGGTTTGGTTAGTTTTGAAAAATTTGGTATGGTTAGTTGTTAGTGGATATATTAAAATAATATTTAAAATTAAATGATTAAGGTTGATTTGATATAAGGTAAGAGAGAGGAGATTTGAAGTGATGGTTAGTTAAAATTATGTGAGTAGATGAATAGTGAATTAAGGTGATGTAGTGTGTAAGAATGATTGATTTGATATTATTTAATTATATTGATAATATTGATGATAGTGTGGTTGAGTTAAATTTGAGTTATAAAAATGGTTGAGTTAAAAATACTTAGATTTTTTTGAGATAATTTTGTATCCAAGCATGCTCAGTACTGTTCCCTCATAATATCCCTGTAAAAGTTTTGAGATAAAAGTTTAGCGGAACAAGTCAGTTTGACCCGTAAATTTAGGGTTAAGAAACGGTGCGGTTTAGTGAACAACCGCACTAAACCGCAAAAAACAGAAAACCAACTTAGCAAAAAAAATAACCGAACCACACCGTAACTTAGAAAAAACCGAACCGAACTTCTTTTACACTAAAATAACCGAACCAAACCGAAATGCATGGTTCGGCTCGACATTCGATTCTTTCTCGATTTTTTTATACATTTTATTCAATTTGGTGCAGTTCGGTGCAAAACAACACCGAACAAAATCGAACGTATGAAAAAAGTAACCCCACCGCAATATAGAAAAAACTGAACTAAACCGAATATTTTGACATGAAAATACTAAACCGCACTGCACCGCAATGTAGAAAAAATCGAACCAAATCGAATTTTTTTACACTAAAAAAACTGAATCGAACCGCACCGAATTGCTCGATTTCTGCCGGGTTTCGGTTTCGGCTCAGTTTTGCTCACTCCTACGGCCGTCATGTTCAAGAGAATGAAAAACAGAATGATAATGAAAAAAAAAAAGCCTTAAATTCTCAAATCTCTCTTCCGAAAATTCTCGTCGGTATTTGTAATCGTCCATAAACAGAACTTGAAGGTCTTCATTCCCAAGTTCCATTTGTTCCTCTTTTATATTCTTTGCAGAGTCCAAAACAGAGTTGCGGCAATTAGACACATGGATCGACTTAAGCGTCGGTATATACCCAATCTCGTGAGGGATCTCCTCCAAACTGGATAATGTATCAAGAACAAGTTGCTCGAGGCATGGAAAGTGTGTGCGGTCTTCCATAATCCATTCTACTAGATCCCAACAGCTGACATGCAAGTACTTGAGCTGCTGAAATTGACCCTCAACTGTTACCCATTGAGGCCCCAAGTGACAATGTATCGGTTTAAGCACTTGCAGATGCGACAACGTGCCTATCATTGTCCCGATCTTTTCCCATGCAGATTTAATGCACCATAAGCTCAACTTCCTGAGTGAACGCGGGAACCTGAGGCTCCAACCCAATTCACTCGGTCTTATATAGCTTAGAGAATCGATCGACCTTGTCGTGTCTAAAGGACCGGTAAAGATGATAACAAGGGATTCCAGTTTATGTAGCCGGCGGAGATTGTTGAGATAGTAGCGGCCACTTTCAACGTATTGTATTCCTAGTTTCTTGATGTTGGGGATTCTCTTGACCACCTCCGAACTACACTTGAAATTCCGTACTCCCTTGAGAGTCTCTAGGTTGTCCAAAAGGGCCACTAACAAATCATTGTCTTTCTTATTAAAATGGAAAGGAGGATCCGGGAGATCCAAGCCTTG